CGTTTGTGTAAGTTTCATTCTCCAGTTTTGTTTTGTTTGGTTTTTCGGATCTAAAACTATACAACCAAATGCAAGCTTGAGTCGTCGGTATTCGGTTATACTCCAGGTTATATATTCTTTGTGAGTGAATGGATCTCTGAGAAGCAAACGACGATTCAACATTTGGGGACAGTATGGGGACAGTATGATCTATTAGTAATCAGGAGGCGGAAACTGGGCATTTAACCCCCCCCCTACCCTGGCAACGCCAACAAGGACGACGTACAAAAATCACTTTCAAAAGGAGTACTAGAATTTACAAAAAGTAAGTTTGGTTCCTCAGGAACAAAAAGGAATGAGTTGTAAATGCTAAATGACAGTGAAGTTTGCCTATGTTCCTTCAGTGATTCGCCAAGGTTTGGAACAAATCCGCAACTTTGGATGTGTTCTGCAATTTCTGCGGTATTCAATTAATACTCGAACTCATATCTTTTTTTACGATGTATTGAATCAAAACACTTTGTCATTAAATTTCTCGGGTTTAGTATCTCATAGATCTTATTATTGGCCGACTTGATTGTAAATGTCTAAATTTTTCCTGCTTTGGCAGTATATTTGTCAAACACGGAAATGTAATAAGACATTCAATGCAGATATAATATTCCATGGGCCAATAGAATTACACTTTGTTGAGGAGCTGTTTATTCCACAAGTGGCAGTTCTAACTTTGGGTTCATACTTCAGTAGTGTCATACATAGGAACATCCCGGTACCAACATTATAAATCTACCTTAGTATGTCATTATCCCTGGTCCATTCAACGTTGACTATGCTATCCGTCCTTTTAGGAATATGGGCAAATATATGCTCTTTTAGTCTGTGTTGTTTGAAAACACAAAAGAGGGTTTGAAAATGTCTGGCAGTTATTCCAGTAATGAATGTGCCTTAAAGTGTCTTAGAGCTGAATTGATTTGTTCGCATGTTTTCCACGTCTAGCTAAATTTAGTTCATAATAGTTTCGAGAACTCTTGCCTTGTATTTTACGCCTCCGCCACACTCCAACGCTTCATGACGACTTTTTACTATTTCAAGTTCTGCCACTCTATCTTCCCAACCCAACTCTTGATCTTTCTTTTCTCTCTCGATAAACATATCCAAGTGGTCTTTCACACTTATCTGAGGCTTAAGGGCGATTTCTTGAAGACGTCGCATACAACTAGCAGCCTCAAAGTTCAAGCCTTGTAGACACTGAAAGTGATCCTGAATGTCTGTTTTGAGATCTTGGATTACCTCCTGGACGGACAGCTCCCGACCGGCTGCTTTCTCGTATCGACCCTTTATATCTTTGTATGTCATCATCTTCTTCACCAATTGAGGTTTCTTACGCACCGACTGCATGCTGTGGTCACGTGTTTTGCACTTTCTTGGACATACTGTGCACTTCCCTTTAATGTCAAAAACTCGACACTGGTAATTTGATATTTTCATACGTGAACAAGGGAAGTGACAAGTATATTCGCATGTGGTGCAGTTCATCGCTTTTTTTTCTGTCTCAACCCACTCAAATGTTTTAGCATAACATGGGATTGGAAAAGGTGCATTCTGCGCCGTTTTACCCTGCTGAGACTCGAGCATCTTCTTGTCTCTCTTCATTTGCCCAACCTTTGTGTTTATGGCTTGAATCTGCTGATACAGATGTTCAGAGATATTCTCTAAACGTAAACGCTCAAGGAGGACTTCCTTTGTAAGAAAGATGCTTACCGGTTCAAGTCGTTCAAGAGACTCAAAAAATGACTTCATATTCTTCATTCCCATTTTCCAGTACGCGTGATGAATAGCAAGATCATCTTGATCTGTGTCACTTTCTGTAGTCTCAACATTCGTGGCAAATAGTGCTGAGTTATTAAACTTAAACAAGTTGTCCTCACAACGAATTTCTGCCTCCCTTAATGCAGAAATAACCTTTGGGCGAGCTTTGTCACTAAATGTAGCAAGAAGCATTATGTTCGGCTCAATATCTTTGCCGTATAAAGCCAACATAGAGTCAAAGATGTATTTGTGAGTGGGGGTGAGACGAGCGTCGGTTGATTTCGCTACAAAGCCCACCGCGTCGAGATGATCCACATGGTGATCTTCAGGATGGGAGAAAAACTCACGGATCTGATGAACGATTGCTTTATCGCGCTCAATACCTCTTGTATCTCCAAACCCAGGTGTGTCAATGATTGTCAGTGTGTACGGGATGGTATGGTGTTTGTTTCTGTGGATTGTATATAAAGTTGTAATTTGTGTTTGACTATGAGCCTGTGAATACGACTGTACTTCATCTACAATCTTAAATCGATAGTCATCATTCCACTTTGTCCCAATGATGTAATTTATCATCGCATTGATCAGGGTACTCTTACCGGCACCTGTTGCACCAACTAGCATAATCACTTTATGGTGTTGGTATGCCTTTGACTGATTGCCATAGGACAAACAGCGAAAGCCTTCTTTTCTTAAAACTTGGTTTAGAGGAATTATCAAAGTTCTTGGTTTGCCTGTGTCTCTACACAAGTAAAGCTTGGACAGTCTTTCCGCATGGTCTTCCTCTTTCGACCCGGATGATTCGTTTGCTTTGCTCATGCTGACGATGATTTTCAACCAAACTCTGAAAACAAATTATCGGAGAAAGAAGCCATCATAGGATAGGATTTACATGCTGTTTCTGCAGAGTTGACTCCTTTTGTCTGCTTCTTTTAAGTGGAGTGGCTAATTGGTTACGTTTGGAATTCATGATAAAAGTTTTCTAACCACGGACCATGTGAACCTAATAGAAATCATGCACTTATAATTGAGATTTCCTAGTTCAGATAATGATCTTATGCATCATGGACAAAATCTCAAAGTTAGATAAGTCTTTGGAATGTCTGCGCCGTGACGACACCTCGCTGCAGTGTGCCTTATTAGATTACTTTCCTTAGCACTTACAGTTTTATCCTCAAGTAAGCAAGTAAGTGGTCTCTCGTGATAAAACTCAGGTTAGCTCAGGGAGGTACAAACTGAAGAAGAATGTTTCTTCTGTGCCAGGTTTCTTTTCTGAGGCAGTCTTTAAATAAAATCTTCATATCAAAGGTCGACTAACAACTACTAATATGTCGACAGCCTTTTTAATTATTTATTGTCTACGTTTAACCCCGCATGCGCGTATTGTTTCGGAGTGAAAAAAGGCATCATCACCCAATCGAGTTTACTGCATCGGAAATTTATTCTTGAAGTTTTTCTCAACATTCTTGCGAAAAGTTATATCACAAGTGACGGCTTTTTTGGGGCAGAAGGTTTGATTAGATTTGGGATAAAGATCTGTTGGAAAGTTTACCTGTCAGTGAAGTAGGGATGTCCCGATACGGGATTGGAGAAAACTGACAAAGGCAATCNAGGCGACAAAGAGTGACCCTTATCAGACGCCGACAATCTAAACAGAAAAGTGACAGAAACAATGCAAGATACATTTGTCATTGACTACAGGCAAAAGTCAACCAATACGTTTAAAAAACATGATACCTATTTAAACAGGGCTAATCTTAACGACCCATAAATTAAATTGCCTGCAAGTGGAGCGAGTTTTTAACCGAGTAGTTAATCTATTCTTGAATAGATTAACTATCGGACTGACGGACAAGTTGTCCGTCTGACTGACCGACCGACTAACCTTCTGACCAATCCATGAACACAACCAGTCACAGCATTTTGGAATGACGAGTAACGCATAACAATAGGGAGAAAGGTGGGAGCTAAAGTGTGAGAGACTATTGTTACAGCACATTTTCCTCGAAGATAAGCAATCACTTGATTGGGAACTGACATCGCATCAAGTCGAGTGAGACCTCGGGGAACTACATCGAAAACAACTTATTTCTGTAAATGCAACCCCCAAATATCATGGTTTAACTAAAGTATTTTAACTGGAAAATTCGTAATTTCGCTCCGAATACGCAAAGACGCATGGTGAAAATTAGGTTTGTAAGCGATATTTTGCTCAGAAAAATGACCATACGGGTACCGTAAAGTTGTAATTTATACACACAAGTACGCATTAAAGAAATTATTATGTCTCTAGAAAGTGATTGCCATTTATGTTACTTCAAATGCAATTTTGTTGTTTGTTATTGATTCTAATTGTAACGATAAATGTAATATTTACTTTCTCTCTTTACTTTGTAACAAGCCAGTGGAAAGAAAATTTCTGTGAATTTTGTTCATGGATAATAAATTTGAATCTTGAAAGAAGTGTGTAAATTTTCGGATGTGACACGGCAGAAGACAAGCGGGTGTGAAGCTGTGTGTTGTTCCTGATACGTATCTGATATATTTGTCTTTAGCTTGAAAGTCGCTCAAAAATCATACACTTAACCTTGCGAGTACGTAAAATACGTAAGACACAAAACATGGACTCTGGTGAACAAGGATTCATGAAGCACCTTTTTAGATTCTCGTTCATGAGCTCAAGAACCACTACTTTAAATAACTAAAATGACCAAAAGAAAAAAACAACATACACACGCAAAATGTCACTGGCGTAATTGAAGCTGGATCTGTGCATGCATCTACAATACGGTAGGTGGTTCGCGGAGACACCATGTGGGTTATCTCTTTTGTGAGTATTTGTGCTGCTAAAAAGAACCGACACTGAGTCCTGTCGACAGACAGAGCACTCACTGTCCGAAACGATAATTCATATGGTTTTGTCCGCAACCTCTCTACTTAATAGAAAGATACTGATTAGTTAGTGGAAGAGGAGGGAATTTCCGCATTACAAATCCTCATCAAAATATGTATTCATTTTAAAGCATTCATCCTGTATATGGTTGATGTATGTACATTGAAGCCTCTATGTTCTGACTTCGAAACTTATAAGTAACTTACCCAATGTAAAGCTAGGGAGGCAGCTTTTCAATTCACACACGTCTGTAGAATGTTCTCTACTGTAATTGCTTCTCCCGTTGATAAAACATTGAATTGTCGATCGAGACGGCAATCACGGAGATCCCACTTAAATGTAGCTCCAACTTTATAGTCAAAGCTGAGATGGCGCTGACACGAGACTGAAGTGATTCCCAGAGATCTGAGTGCCTTTTAAACTTGGAAACGTACACAGCAGAAACGTACAGCATTTTGCGTTACGTACTTCGTGTGAGGTCCTGCCTTTCCATTGGAATTTAACGTACACTTGGTCCATCGGAATTGATTAGAGATCTAGGGCAAAATTATGTGTTGCACCAAAGAAGCTCCCGAGTGCGATAGTTCTAGTCTTGTTGACCCAATGACCCATCGTCCCAGGTTCGTGCAAATTGTGTGACAATACTGGAAATTCCCGTTTGCCATATGGGTCTGAACGTGGAAAATAATTTACTCACAAATATTTGCCTAAGAACGGTAACAGTAAGCATCATAAAAACTAATTTCAAAGTGCACCTTGTGATCATTAACGTGGTAGTGTATTAATTAACCAAAGTATACCGGTAAATGCTTGTAAGCTATATTAAACATACATTACTGTGTTTCATCCTTCACCTGCGAATTTCCTCTCTTGCTCCAAAAGAATACATGCCATAAACGCTATCAACTATAGGCAATAATTAGTTGATTGTTCACATTAGTCGGTTGTCCACATAAGTTAGTAGTCTGCATATCTTGAAGTAGTACTCTTAAAATGTTGGGGTAAATTTCTTATGGAAAAGTCAGCTTGATTCGTTTTTCTTTCACCCATGTCTTAACTGAAGTTCTGAAGTTAACAGTGTTTACAAACTCACGATACATTTGTAACATGTCAGTGGTGGTATTCCTCAGAATAGCTTCCGGGTCATGAGACCAATAATCAGATGTGATTTGTTTAAGCTCGCCTGTCCGAATCGAGACGAGGAATATGGTGATTGAATATCTCTGTTTGTAGAATAAACTTGAAAGATGTTTGATCAGAGATTTTAATCGGGAATTTTAATCATCACAATTTGAAGCCTTGATAAAAGAATTTTCTCCCAATAATCATACACAGAGCAACCAATCGGTTTGGAAGAATAGTGTTTCACGTGTTTCTTGGCCATACAAAATAGTGCCTTCAGCATTTGTGTTGCATGCCTAAAATGTTGCTTACTTTTAATTACTCAACCGAAGTGTTTTACTTTTAGACTTTCAGGATATGTCAGTAAATAAACGCAGCGTAAAGTTCGTTGCCTGTGAGTCCTTTTGGTTGAGGTTAGGAAGCGAATTAAGTCTTCCGTATCTGGGACTAAAAATATGAAATTGAAAAATGAAAAAATGAATTTTCGTGCATTTTTTTTCGCATGGAACATAAAGAAACCTTGATCAGCACATTTCTTGGTTATAATTTCTTTTCAATACATCTAATTTCGTAGGCGTGCCAAACAGTTTCTGCACATTGAAAAACAGCATATAGTGTCTGAGAAAAATATGTCTGAGAAAGGCTACAAGTTAAATGTTTACGGTACGTGAGGTGTTATAAAATATAGTAGAGATGCCGGCCTTTTGCTGAAAATGAAAATCCATGCCGACCTGTTTCAGCTATAAGTAGTGCCCTGAAGAGGTGGCGCATGTGCAGCTGAGTGCGCTTCGTGAATCACGTCAAAATTCACGACTTGCATAAAATCGTAAATAGTGACGTCACTAATTAATGCCACAAAAATTACCGAATGCAATTTTTGTTTAATTAAACTGGGAAGGAATATATTAACTGTGCAGCTTTCCTTGAAAGAAGACGGTGGCTACATTTTTTTTTAATTAGCCAACAAAGCAAAGTGGTCAATAAAGTGATATAGCCGAGTATTTCCAAAAGATTAAGTACATTTCTATTTGTTCTGCAGTACAGGCATTGCTAGTGAATACATGTCAACGAGTACAAGTATTAAAATAGTTACTGGAGGATAAGTCTGAGTGTAAATGCAAGTACATCACTCCATCATTTATCCCTGTCAGGTACACGGTGTAAGTACGCAGAATTCTCTTTTTAATGTTTGCTTTTGGCAAATGATTTTTAAGCTAACTTTGAACAGAGAAGCTTCGTAATTTTATAAAAAGTGCATAAACATATTTGGAAAAATTAGGCGCATATTGTCAGAAGCTCCTGCATTTATTCTAATTGAAAGGCGGTCATTTAAAACCCACTGATACCCATGGCAAATGTTCCATGGAAATATATTAGCATGAAGTAAACAAGCCAATCAAAATTATTGCTGACAATAACAAAGTTTGCTTTAGAAGCTGAATGCATGGAAATTAATAGAAATATGTTACTAGCATTATGCACTTGCAAAATAGGTTGACTTTTTACGCACAACTGGCCTAGTCATATTTACAGACCATTGTAAATGAATTTAGAACTGACAAAACAATTTTTGTAACTCCATGTATATGACGTCCTTGCCTATGTCATGCAATAAGCACATTCATTTATTGGCTGCTGTACGGAATTTTGGAGTTCTAGTTTCTGTGTTGCAACGCCCTCCGATATCGTTTTTAAACCAGCCAAACTCTACGGGTCTTGAATCCCTAGCGAATGCTCACTAAAAATTAAATGTTAGAATAATACGCCCATTGCAAACACGTGTGAAATGAAATAAAATATATATATATATGAGAGATCGTGTTTACCCACACATGCCATGCTATTTTTAAAGCGAGCGGGGCAAGATGCACCTTTACTCAATTAGTTTGAAATTTAATGAAATCCGTCATTGTAGTTACTGAGGAAGTAACAGGCAAACAATCCAGGCCCTTAGAATTAATCAGAAGTGGCGTGTCTGGATATGGGGAATTACCCCACTTTGGCTACCGCTTTAATATACAGCACTGCTATCGTCTTAAGAGTTGTAATCATACAATTCCTGCATTTTACCAGCACTTTAATTTAATTAATACTTGTGGTTAATGTGTAATAATAACGCTTTCCTCTTCGTAAAGTTTTTTCATTTCGCTGAATTTTTAGGCATTCTCTTTCGTTAGAAAGCAAGACCAGTCATGTTAATCTTTAAGCTAGTCTTCTTCAACATGACTGGGAGACTAAAATACATACACAGCTACGTTTATGTAGACACGCAGTCAACTGGAGATATGCGACAGTGTGAGTTTGTTTCTGCATTCAGTTGGGGACCCTGAACAATAGAGGACTATATAAGGTCCCCGTTTGACAACTCTATACAAAACATATGGGTGGTCTTCTAAAAAAAAGTTAGCAGTGCAAACAAAAGAGGAACAATAGGGGGTCCCCAGTTGCAAGCAAATACACACTTGTGTGTGTGAGAAAGTTTGGTTTTGCATTCATATGGCAAACATGAACAAAGTGGACAATAACAGTGTCCCCAGTTCATCGAGGGCCCTGAATGACAATCTTGTACAAAATATGTCGGGGGGGTCCTTCAAAAATGTAAAAGGATGAAAAAAAGAGGAAGAAGCGAGTCACCAATTGCAGGCAATATTTGTTTTCAAAACTTTCACTTTTTAAACATTCGTTTTAAGGTGTGTGGATCTGTTTCATCCTTTCTTGACCGACAGCTGTTGGTGTTAGGGGGCAATGCAGACAGTGCTTTTCGGTGACAGTAAGTTGCAATATTCAGAGAATGCTTGTTCGTTACTTCATTTGAATGACCCCATTTATGCTGATTTCATTTACTCCTTTTCTCTTCGCCATATCTTGGGTGGTATCATTTTACTAAGTTGTTGCCGTTTCACCCGGAGATATGGCCAAGGAAAGTTTTCATTTGGGAGACATCGAATCAAGTTCGGTCGCTCGCTCTTTTCGGGATACATTGATAGTTTAATGACGTAGAGGACGTCTTAAAAACCGCAGAGCCAGCGCCTGCAGTAGGCATGACATTTGAATTGATGGACAGATTTTAGTCCCTCTTTCAACACATGGGAAATAAAGCAGATACCTCAGAAAGCATTTTTTTTCCATGGCAATGATTTTCGTTCCTGTCTGGTTTGTGAACACCAAGACTTACAAGCTAACCTCAGTCTTCCTGAAATTAATACTTAAGTTGTGTCGTGACTTGAATTTTGAAACATGCATCGTGCATTTGTGTGTCAATAGTGTAAAGATTGGAATGTAGTTACAGGCTACGTATGTATTTTTCCCTTTTCTTATTCCATACTCAAGACTTGTCTCTTTGTAAACAGATTTATCTGTCAGACAAACAAATCTGGGTTTTGTTTCCCAGACTGTATATAGCTTATTTTTTCCCATCTTCAGCAAATAATAAGCCCCAACTGAATAACCGCGTTCCACGGGGCAGTCTCCCTTCGTCTTGCTTCCCCGGCTACGCCCACTGGATCTCATAAAGTAACTTCGGTTATGACTACGCAGCTATTTGTGTCCTTAAATTGAAAAACGATGGGGTTGCTTTAGTTCTCTCCGCCTTTTAATTTTGTTTTCAGGTGTCGCTTTTAACAAAAATGTCATAAACGCGTGCCTTAAATTTCACTGCTTTGCCTTGTGACAATGCCTCGTCTCGGCTTTTCATTTGTTCAAAAGCTTTTACTCTATCTTCCCAACCCAGCACATGACTTCTCTTTTCATTCTCGATTAAAATATCTACATATTCTTTCATGCTCATTTGAGGCTTAAGGGCGATTTCTTGAAGACGTTGCGTACACCTACAAGCCTCAACATTCATGTCAACAAAACACTGCATGTGATTTTGAATGTCAGTTTTGAGTTCTTGTGTTACCTGCTCGACTGACAGGTCTCGACCTGTTGTCTTCTCGTATCGCTTCTTTATATCTTTATATGTCTCCGTTTTCTTCACCACTCTGGTCACTATCCTTACAAGCTGCTGATCATGGTAATGTGCCTTACACTTCTCGGGACATACAGTGCATCTACCTTTCATGTCGAAAGCACGACACCAATAGTTTGCTGTTCTCTTACGTGAACACGGGTAGTGACAGGTATAATTGCACTTGTTGCAATTCATTGCGCTTTCTTCTGTCTTAATCCTTTCCAATTTTGAAATATGGGTTGTGATTTGAAAACCTTCCTTTCGCCCAATATCATTCTTATGACGTTCGATTGCTTCGCTTTCTTTCTTCAGTTGCTCAACTTTTGTGTTAATTGTTTGAATCTGTTGGTGCATGTTTTCAGAGGTATTCTCCAAACGTAAACGCTCACAGAGGACTTCCTTCGTGAGAACAAGACTGACTGGTTCCAGTTGGTCGAGTGACTTGAAAAAGGACTTCATGTTCCTCATTCCCATTTTCCAGTACGCATGAGGAACAGCAAGATCGTCTTCACCACTGTCACTCCCTCCCTTTGCCACATTACACTCAAATAGTGCCGAGTTGTTAAACTTGAACAAGTTGCCCTCGCAACGGATGTTTTCCTCTTCGAATGCTGAGACAACCTGTGGGCGTCCTCTGTCACTAAATGTGGCAAGAATGATTATATTAGGCTCAATGTCTTTGCCATATAAAGACAAAATTGACCAAAAGATGTATTTTTGGGTGGGAGTAAGACGTCCGGTCGTTGAATTTGCTACAAAGCCTACACCGTCGAGATGATCCACATGGTGATCCTCGGGATGGGAGAAAAACTCTTTGACCTGATGAACGATTGCTTTGTCGCGCTCAATACCTCTTGTATCTCCAAACCCAGGCGTATCAATGATTGTCAGTGTGTACGGGATGGTGTGGTGTTCGTTGCTATGGATAGTGTATGCAGCTATAACTTGTGTTTGACTGTGCGCCTGCGACTGTGGTCCTTCTACCCGTTTATCTACGATCTTAAATCTAAAGTCATCTTCCCACTTCACCCCTAAGATATAATTAATCATTGTATTGATCAAGGTACTCTTACCGACACCTGTAGCACCAACTAACATTATCACCTTGTGGTGTTGGTATGCCTTAGACTGCTCACCGTAGGAAAAACAACAATAGTTTTCTGATCTTAAAATCTGATCCAGTGGAATGGTCAGAGTTTTTGGTTGACCTCCATCTTCACACAAATAAAGCTGAGATAGTCTTCCTGCATAGTCGGTTGAATCAGGCCCTGGTAGTTCTTCTGAAACCTCCATACAGACCATAAGTTTCACTGATACGCTGAAACAAAGGTTAGAAAGACTAGAGATCAATCACTAAGAAAACCTTTTTGGACGTCTTACTCGAGAAATAAGCATTTCATCTTTTTAGGCATGAGAGTTTAACCGTTTTCTGAATCATGAAATTAAGGATAATGAGTACTTAATATTGTCACAGTTATTTGAAACGAATTTGAGGGTCATTGTAAACATCTATGTCCTTGACTGTTGGCCAGGGACCTTGTTATGGGATCATAACAAGAGCGTGGGACGTAAACCACGACCACTTTCATAGCTCTGCTACACCCTCGGAATGTTTCGCTTAAACGATAAGCAGTTTTTGGCTTTCAGCGCTAGCCCCGAAATACAACGCTATATCAAGTAAGCACAGAGCCCTTAGTGTATCTCCATGTACTCCTAAGCTGAATTTTTGTGCTGACCTAGAGGGTTTCTAAGCTTTGCAGTTCGTGCATCCATCGACTTTTACCCACACTTAGCAATTTGTGTACTGAGGGCAAGAGAGCTACCGCTGAATGAAAGTTTTGTGGAAATAGGGAGACACTGAACCCTGTTTTGAATTCTTGCCGAGTATCTCTTAAACAAGGCCAGTTGACTTGGCGCCAAAGTTGAACTCGGTTAATTAGAGCATACAAATCCAAGTTCGATACTGCTGTGGCGTATTCAGATATTCTGGATCATTCAGTTGCATTTTGGTCACTAGTTTAAAGCCTGACATGGTTGCTACAGGATAACATTTCAGCGGAGAATGAAAGGTGTTTACAGGCTACGTTCCAAGCCAGCAAAAAAACAGAATCTCAACATGGAGCTTTTATACACAAGGAGTAAGCACATACAGAGATCAAAAGGGTCAATGAAGGCCACCGTCAGCACTGCACTTGCTGCAAGAATAAAACAAGTTACGTGCCGCTTGCGGGCTATAAGGAATGCTCAGAGTTGCATTTGCAGAGGATTGTGGGTACCGCGCATGCGTGTCCGTAAACTTCCGCACGTTCAACATGGCCGCCATCGAGATGGAAACCACCGTCATCGGAGACTTAAATTTCGATAATTTCCGTCATTGTTCTCATATTCCAATGACAATGAAAGCCTGGTTACGTCTTTGCACACCAAGAACGTTTCTCTTAACGACAAACAGAATTATTGACAAACATGAATTCTCCAAAACATGACACAAAAAAACAAAGAATGTAGTTGGTCTAGAGAAAATAAAATACACAAAAACATGGGAAGATTCGTTGTCCTTTCTGTCATTGGCCACAACTGGCTCGGTATGAAACCTCGCCAAGTTGTCAAGTGCATATTTCAACCTTCTTTTAGCCGTAGAAACATCTAGGGTTACGAATCATGATAGCAATATCGTAGTTTATATTTTGGATATTTGTTCTCTACCGTTAATGTTTTAATTTAAACGTCCGACTTTTGCCAAATAAACCACTGTGTATAAAGAATGTCTAGGGTCGTCTACACTGCGGCCAACAGTAACTGCGTATTGTCAACGGAGTTGACCGGAGCAGTTAATCGGAATACGGGTCGGTGGGGACTTCGTTCTAAATTTCTTGTGATTAGTAGCTCCATGATCTCAAGAAGGGTCTCAGCCGGATTGCTCTGCTCTCTGGCTCCATTATTTGGAATGCCCGCCACAACATGGCCTGGGAAAACCGTCCCTCCCTGACATTGTAGACTTTTGGTGATTCCAGCTCCCCAGTTACCTCGATTTGTTTTAATTTTTGGAAGTTCATAACCTCTTTAATATTATAGCCTACTTTCTGTTTCCTAGGATAAAGATTTCTTTATCTTATCTAAAAAAAATTACGTTTTCATCGCTGGTTTTTGTATAGTGAAAGTAATTGTAATTTTTCATTAATTTTGTTTTGTTTTTGTCTACATTATGCATGCGTTTCTGTTTTTCTGTTTTGAAACCTTCCCCTGGGATCTGTGTACATTCTTAATTTTGTGAAATGAAGAATGACTAAAAAATTCTAATTGCCTCTAACTTTTCAACCGGACTGAGCCATGGCCTTTAATCAATTCGTTCCATTTAACAAGCACTTGTACAATCACATCAGACAATGGTTCAGACATCAGACAATGGTTCAGGAGCGTGAGTGGCAGGTGGTATAGACATGACATATTAAGCCCCAACATTCTTGCGTGTTTGTGAGTCTTGTCAGTCTTAAACAACAGCTTGTCTGGCAAAGAAAATATATTATCTTTTAATGCTTATCTGTTTCAAAATTTACCTTACAGGGAAGTTGGCTTGTCTCGATATAGGATTCAAAACAAGACACGCGATCAGCTGACTAAAAGTGTCCTCTCACTCGGGTTCTATCAATCTAAAAAATAGAAAATAAAAGGGTGGGGCATGGCAGAAGAGAATAGGTGGGAAACACGATTCCATTTTCATGCTGTCTGGGGATCATGCGTTGCTGTTGTTGTTTGTAACCAATGCTGCTGATCCAAACAGTGATTGGGAACTATCGGAGATGATCATAGATGGCGATGGGGGTGACGTTGGTAATACGGATAATGCTGATAATAGCAGAAATGATGAGCAGCCGAACTAATCATCGCAAAATCCGAGGGGGACATTGTTGTGCGCCGGTCATGGCAGCAACGTGCGTTTTTCGCTATAACGGCTCTTACTAGACCTTGTTGGCAGCTCAGATCATTACATTTTTATTTATATCGCACTGTGTTGACTTGGGCTGTAGTCATGAAGTAAACAGTAAAGTAAAGTAAAAAGTAAAGTAAAGTAAAGTTAAGGTGAGGTGAGTTACTAGGTGAGGTGAGGTGTGGTGATGTAATGTATGAGGTGAGGTAAGGTAAGGTAAGGTTTCGTTTCGTTTGTCGTTTTAATGAATAATTTCTTCTGTATTAAGGCCAGTTCATAAATGGCACGAAAGCAAACACAAACATGAATTCGTGACGTCAGATAAACGTTAACAGGTCAGCTGGCGCGAAATTTTGCTGCACATTTTTAAAATCTGCTTCGCTTTCATGTTCACCTGCAGTACCAGCGGGCTTTCAAGTATATCCTTTTTTTGTCGTGTATTTCCCCGCTGCTCTTTAGAAGAAAGAAGTCATGCATTTAAATTTAATATGATGGTCATTTTTTTTGTAATGCTTTATCTTCCCATGTACTGCATCACGAAATCATGCCTCAGTGTTTGCACGACCTATTTAGAATTTTCTGTTATTCCATGCAAAGTTTTTTTCAACATTATTGTAGAAAGCAGATTAAATTCTGATAAGAGGTCGCTTCTGATTCAACATTAGGGGCTTCACAGATCCTACAGAACCATTCAATGAGCGAAGTGCTTTATTGCGTTGGCCCACAATGAAGATATATGCCAGTGACATGAAGATCTATCAATTGCATTAAACTGCAGGGCATATCAAAATAAAGGAAACCCAAGTTCAATTTTATAGGAAATCTGCAAAATTTCTTAATTAAGCCTTGTATGTCTCCAGAGAGGCGTGAATATCTTCTTTCCAAAGGCACATTGATCATGTGCTCAGTGTCACGGTTGAACAAGTAACAATGCATTGTTCCCCACTAAGCAGGTGACAGTTAACATACACTGTACAGTAGATGATGCATATTTAAATGTGCTTAGCTTTAGGCCAACACAAAAAGGTGCTTCGGAATTTTTACATCTTACAGATTTGCCAAGTACGTACCCTACAGGCAACTGTCATATTAGGCCGATATGCCTGCGGTATCAGTGTCCGTGTATTGGTACTTTTTCTCCAAATGCCGAAACCCTTCCCCAAAAATTTAAAATAAAGTTGATCGCCTACTAAAGTTGATTGGCTACATTACACGGTACCAGGCCTAACCACTCACATGCCAAATCTCTTTCTGACTCCTAATCAACCATCGGATCGATAAAGACCCATTTTCAAAACGATTCATTTTTTAAACCCCTAACTTACAGTTACGAAACTTAGATCAGAAGTGCAATAGACTCTTACCTGTCATGCTAACAACTGCATGCACAGCAGATTGTGTAAGCTCCTACGATTACCTGAGAAAATAAACCAGACCACAAATGTGTATACATGTAGTTGGTCATCACGGTTATTAATGTAATAGATTCAAATATCCAAACCCTTAATTTTTAAGATATAGATAACGCTAGAAAATTATAAGTTTCTAGTAGTATAAAGAATGTAGAAATTAGTGCTTAATAACAAACCGAACCAAAGAGCGCTCTTTAATTTAAAGGGCATATCGTCAGGTTAATGATCCGAGAAATATTATCGTAACATTTGGAAAGTTTAAAAGATGCAATGTCAATTTGTAAGTTATGTGGTAGTTTAATACACCAACGTCAACGGTTTTGTGTGGTAGGAAGAAAAGGACTGTGCTCACTTGCTCTGTGAAATAACTAACCTGTTTACCCAAGGTCTAATTGTCACATTATTTACAGCCGGTTTGATTAAAGGGGAAACTTATCCCCCCCCCCAAAAAAAGAGTCAAATCCTTTTTTTTTTTGTTAATATAACACCATACCACAGCTTATACTTGCGGCGTGTTCTTGGCACAGGTTTCATGTTCTCGCGCTCAAACTTTGCAAAACGACTCGAGAATTTTGTTCTTTGACCAGGATCACACGGAAAACTCGTGAGATTTTGATTTTTAAACAGCCGCAAGAAAATAGCGAAATATCTAACAAACCCGCAGAGACTTGGAAAGTTTTGCAAAATTCGTATCAATACGTTTCCATAACACAGAAATGAATTGTTCCCGTTTTAATTCATAAAGAATTCAGCCCAGT